TTTAGCAAATTGTTTCTATTTGATTGCTTGAACATGAAAGACAGGTTTCACTGTGAATTGCTTGCGAAATCTGTTTGTTCCATGGGTGAAGTCAAGTTTAGTTTTTCCTCTTTGTTCATGCCGGCGGATTTTGAAAATGCGAAGCAATGGCTTTTTGTATTCTTTTCGGCGTCGCCCAGGCCAGCCATGACCATGGAGGAGGTCATCACCGAGGTGCATCAGGCACTTCCAAGTTTGATCTATTCTTCAAGATCATGCTTTTATAAGTTTGTTTTGATTTGAACTATATATTTGAGCGTTGGCCATTTTACTTGGTGCCTTCTGGCGTGGCTCATGCTCGCCGGACGTCCTTTGCGGGGCATGGCTCGCAGGATCAGCTTCACATAGCTATGTCTCGGACAGGTTGAAATGAAAAATGAGCATTCTGTAAAGCATATGTATGTACAGGTTATAGGCGGATGCAGGTAAGAACAAACTTTCGGTCACTTCTCTTCGTTATATAGAGCCATGGACTCTGCGCTCAAGGCCAAGCTGACTGAGATCTTGGATAGTGCGACTCAGAAGGGGCTTTTGAGTTCCATGGAAGTCGTATACGCTTTACTCAAGGAACATGGCTACATGTACCAGTTACATGTACATAGCAAGCTGATCGGAGTACATCAGGGCAACCGCGACGGATTCGGAATCGACCCTGAGCACTGCCACGCACTTGTGGACCGTTTCCACGACCTTGGATTTGTGCCTTCTGCTGGAAGATACATTGCAGTTGAGATCCCCATGGGACCTGAAGGTGAGGTCACTCGAGAGTTCAACAAACAGCTGGCAGCTTCATCCAAGGATCTGTTCCATGCATGGGCTTGTGATATTGTTTAGTTTCTGTAAAGAGCTCCGCCTCAACCATCACCTTAGCATAGGTTCTCTTCAGAATTGCGTAGGATCTTTTTTAGGTTTGCGTATAGCTGAGGCTGCCGCCTGTCAATGACATCTTGAAGTATGCCTCAATCAGCGGAAGCCACAGCAACATGGTCCTTCGCTTGTGGCACTACAGCTGCAAGCACGGGGAGAACCTTCTCAGCGTTGATCAGCTACGTGTACACGACCCTGTCTACGCCGCAGCGGTGGAGCAAGGGCTTCAGTGGGAAGTCGTGTCTGCTGAGATTACCCAGTGTTTTCCGAGCTTCGTTTCTCTAGCACAATCTGCTCAGAACTCAATTGCTCAAGTGTGCCAGCAGGAGACAGAGCTTCAGCTTTGCAAGCGCGTGAAGGCCTGCATTCGAAGCGATGGCTCAATCGCGAAATATGAAGACATTGCCCCCATCATTTTGAGGTCGCAGCCACCCAACCCGGGCATTGTACCGTATCTGCTGAAGTTTATCATGCGGTTTGGCTGCGCTGGAGACATGATGGAGCTCACCGAAAGCTTTGTGAGAACAAATGGCGCCTCTGGCAGATCGTTGGGCATTGACATGTGGGATTGCCTTTCAATGGAAGTGAAGCACCGCGACCAAGAGCAACTCATGCTCTGGCGGCAAGCCTTTTTGAAGGCCTTGTTGTGCCACCATGAGAAGTTGCTTTCCGTCAGTGACCTCCGCAAAAGCTTGATTTCCAAAGATATTCTCCGCAAGATCTTGACGTTCGAGGACACGCTGGTCAACCTGAAGGCTCATGGTGCAAAGTTCACGGACTTGACCTCATACCAGCTGTTGCAAGGCCATGGCATCTTTGAAGTGAAAGCTGTGGTTCTGATCGTAGGCAAGAAGTCGAAGCAACCTCATGCCCTCTTCTTGAAAGTTGAGACTTTAGAAGATGCTGCGTTTCAATGCCATGAGTATTGGCAAGGCTTGTCACAAGTCAGGGTTCCATCTCCCTGGGCGCCGTCGAAGCCGATGGC